TTCGGCCGGGCACCGCGGACCGGAGAGGAGCTCGGCCACGCTACAGGGGAGGGGAGGAGAGAAGCAGCTGCAGCCGCCTGAGGCTCTTAACAGAGCGCTCAGGCAGCTGCAGCATTAGGACCGGCCCTGTAGCGGCCGGTTTTAAAAGGATTTGGGGTGGCCTGGGGGGCAATTGCCTCCCTGGCCCCCGGCCCACCCCGCCCCTGCTGCCCATTTTCATGTGGATTAGGAAGCCGGATCCAGCATGGTGAAAATGGGAATCATGAAAGATTTACTGTTACGGAACCTCCAGTAATAAATGTACAAACCGCCGTTTAGTGAATGCTCCCCGTTCGCAATAATGTGGTCTGGTAGCTTATGCATTATAACCATGCGAACCACCACCCAGGGAACACTCCAACCTCCCGAACGGTACCTGTACGGCTCCTTCCCTTCACGAGCTCCAAATACACGAACTGCCAATTTTAACCGAACGCCAATACCTTCCAAGCGGCAAATAATTCCAATGAGCAGTCTCTAGTCGCCGGTAATAAAATCCCCCCAATAACGAGACCAAGCTCCGTTTTGAGGGTAAAACATGAACTGAGTTTACTGTGGGCTACCTGCCCGTATTTATGCATCTCTCCCACTTGGTGGACACTCCCCTAGGGGACCAAATGGGAGACTGGAATAGCAGAAGGACATGGGGACATTTCAGACATACATCCCCACAATATTCCCAGCATGCATCACAGTTTCCTCCCCTCTGCTTGGGAGATAATTGAGAAGTAATTAAATTATCTCCCAGAGCAGAGGCAAATCGCCATTTTAAATACAAGTCACAAAACACATAAAAATACATAACTTTATAACTGCCGAACGTATTACATTCGTATAACACATCCCTAGATAGCCTGGATCTGAGTGCATATTATTGGCGAATAGCGTTCAGATCCCACACACATAGTTCAATCGCCATGGAGTCAAAGTCTATTACAGTTCTTCGGTATGCGATTGACTCCATGGGAAGGCCTTCTGGGGTAAGTCCATTCGTGCCTTTAAACCTCTTGAACGGCCGGTGTTCGCATACTTCTGTCGATTGAGAAGGGAGGTCGACGGCTTCAGCAGTGTTCGGTTGAAAAAGTGTCCGTTTTTAGTTCCATGAAATAACCGTCGAACACCGCTGGTCTTTCGCATGGTTAAAATGGCCGCCGCCTCGTGGTGGACATATGAACGACGACCACCCTGTATTCGGTTTTAATTGAGAAGAGTTTGCTCACATGGAGTGGAGTGTGGGATCAATAGGTTAACCAGCAGCACACTTCTCTTCTGGGTGGCCGTCCGTTCGGTAGTTCTGTTCGACAAAAAAATACATTCCCTTAAACAAGGCATACGAATGGGGAAATTCATACAAACGGCAAACAGACGAACACAGCAATTCTAGTTCATACGGATGGGTCTGTCACATTTACCAGTCAAGCTTTTACTTGGAAATTATTTGGATCCCCTAACTTCTGCATACATCCCAAGGGAACCTGCCGAAGCCCGGCCCGTAACCACTCTCCTACAAGCCCGAACTGCGGATGTTGGTCCACATGCCAAGGAGACCCAGGTAAGAGACCAACCCCTGACTGTGACTTTAGACCCAACAGCGTTAGGCTGGGATACCCCAGAGGAGTTTGGGAGGGAGACCCGGGAAGACCCTACGCTACACAAATACTGGGCCAAGGCAGATACAGAGCAAGGAGGATTAGAGCGGGAAAGATTTATTTGGGAGCAGGATTGGTTGTATAGACTGACCGAAACCCACAGTAAAGGAACAGCCCCATCCCAGAAGCATCAACTGGTAGTTCCCAGGAAATACCAGATGGAACTGCTCCGGATTGGTCATGATGTACCCTTAGCAGGGCATCTGGGTGTATGCTACACATCTCATAGGGTGACCCAGAACTTCTTTTGGCCGAGAATCTCTAGGGATGTGTGACGATACTGCAAAATTTGAGTCATATGTCAGTGAGTGGGGAAGAGTGGAGATCACCCGAAAGCCCGGCTGCTATCCATGCCCATTATTGAGGAGCCCTTTAGCCGGATAGCAGTCGGTCTAGTAGGGCCCCCAGCTAGACCTAGTCCATCTGGTAAGACATATATACTTACCATGATGGACTATGCTACACGCTACCCAGAAGCGGTCACCGTCACGAATATCCATGAAGAGAATGTTGCAGATGCTCTGGTTCGGATATTCGCTAGGGTAGGTTCTCCCAAGTAAATCCTTTCGGACCAGGGAACCCAATTCACGGCTGACCTAACCCAGAGACTGGGTGGGATTCCTGCCCCATCTTCTGTTTGTGTATCGAGAAGTGCAGCAGGAATCTACTGGGTTTTTCCCTTTCGAGCTACTCTATGGGAGAGGGTACGAGGTCCCCTTGATCTCATTAGGGAACACTGGGAAGGGGAAGGGGAAAGGGAACATGAGGGAACTACCATCGTACCGTATGTGTTGGAACTCCGAGACCACATGGAGCAGTTGGCCAGCATGGTAAAGAAAAACAAAACCTCTAGGTGACACAGGGGAGACATAAGGTCTGGTATGATAGGAGTGCCCGTCAGTGTACGTTCTGGGTGTGACAACAGGTGCATGTATTAAAACCAGTCAGACAGGACATATTGCAGGCAGCATGGCAAGGCCCCTTTAAGGTAGTTGAGCAACTCTGCGACACCATCTATGTAGTCGCCAGCTGTGCCGATGAGAGGATACAGAAGTTGTAACCGATCACCTTGTACCCCGACAGGGTACCTCCCCGAAGGACCGCTGCCTAGCTGGAACAGGGGACAAACCACAACACTTCAGCCCACAATCGCCGTAGCTTGACTGGGGCCCTGGAAGCATTTCTTCCTGGAGCCAAATGGGGAATTAGCTCTAGTAACCCCAAGGGACACAAAGTGAACAAACCAAGAAAAACAGAGTCATAGAGTGAGACACTCCTATACACAAACAATAGAATCCCTCCTCTGTGCTTGGGAGATAATTGAATCAGGAACTGTACTAATCTAACCTAATTATCTCCAAGCACAGAAAAAACATACAATTTTATGAAACCCCAAAAAGTACCTTAAAAACACACAAACCCCCATCCCCTGATAGCTCTGATCTTGGTGAACAACATATCCAAAAATCACCCAGATCGGTTCAGGGGTTCAGGAATTTCCTGGAAGTCATAGTTTTGACTGACCGCAAGCATGGCCCCATGCCCAAAACAGTTCCAGGGAAATCAGTGCTAACAGTCGGTCAAGTTTGGTAGTCTTTTACAGGTTTCCCTGCAGGGCCCATAGTCTGTGGGCAAGAGACTGGCAAGCAGGCTTCTCCAGGAACTCGTGGCAAACTCACTTGAAAGGGGGAGTTTGTCACAGAAGTCATTTTATATTAGTATGTTAAAAGAGTACCAGGAAAGGCAGGAAGATATAGCCGCAGTGTGTGCCCCAGCTGCGGATGTCCCAGACAACCTCCCCCTACCCGATCTATTGGAAAGGTAACCCTAAACCAATCTCATCAGTCAGGTGAAACAAGGGTACCAGTTGTTAGAAGAGAAACCATCAGTTGTTAGAAGAGAAACGACTAATGTTCTCAAAAGAACAAGGGTACACCACTTTGGTGATCGAATAAAGTGGAGACCCCTGGTCCAGCACGACTCAAACAGCCCCCCTACCTGAAGCAGTTCAAGAGGGAATGCGGAAGGAAATCCAATAGATGTTGCGCCTAGAAGTAATTGAATCCTCTGACAGCCCCGTGGGCTTCGTCTGTAGTCCTCGTACCAAAGAAGGATGGAACTACATTCAATATTTTGTGTAATTTTGTACCCCCAAAAGAGACCGACCGCTCATCCTGATTTTATGGAACTATTCTTGGCAGGAGCTTCGTGTGCGGTCGGTCATAAATTTAACCCGGGGGCGTTTTGGCTGAGTTCATGGGATCTGAGCACTTTTTGAATATGTTGGGTGCTCAGATCCAGGCTATCTGGGGACATAGGACTTGAGGGGGTACCTGATTGAATTGTATGTATTTCTGAGTGTAACAGTTGTACATGTTCTGTACCTGAGAGATAATTTAATTTAGATGTTTGTTTTCAAGCAGTTCGCTCTCAGGTACAGAGAAAAACATGGGGGGATTACTCTGTAATGTTGAGTTGAAAAACCCTTGCAGGGGTTGTTGCATAAAAGGCTGTGTGTGGCCTCTAATAAACCAGTTCACCCCATCATTCAGTCTCGACTAATTTATGTGGGGGGAAAGCTATACCTGCTATATCACTACTTTACGTGCTTTGGATTATCATTATTGGAAAACTCTGCTTGGGATTGCTACAGCATAACTCACACTAGGAGGAAAAGAATATCTCTGGCAGCAAAATCATTGCCCCTATCTGGGTGGCCGTCACAATAGTACGCAAGCATCGGGCATTGGTGGGCCTACACAAGCATCCAGCATTGGTAGGTGTACACAAGCATCCAGCATTGGTGGGTGTACACAAGCAGTCACAAGCAGCTGGTTTGAACAGGGCCCTCGACACCCTTTGTTCCTGTTTTTCCAACTTATCTTGTTGCAAATGCTCGTCAGTTAGTTCACCCATTGTAAAGATATATGGAACTTGTTGGCGCATTAAAATTTATAATAATATGCCTAAACATATTGCTAAAGTTGGGGGTCTATATAGCCATACATAAACATTTTATGACAAGGGAATTAAAACATAATGATTTCTCAAAACTATAACAAACTCATAGTGACATACTCAAAAATCACACAGGTAGTAACAATGTCAGGGACACGTGGGAAATAAGTAGTCAAAAACAGAGTGAAATAACATCTAATATGGTCTGTAAATCTTGTAATTGCTGTTTTAATGGATGTCCGAGGGGTCACATAGGTGGCTCTGTTGACTTGTAGTTACTGATTACATTAAATGTTTGTAAAAGCCAAATTCTGCCTGTTCAGATTTTGTAACAGAGTGTTTTTTTATTTATTGATTCCTTCTGTCCTTAATGGGAGGATCTGTCTTATAAACAGCCAGGCTTCTGCTGGGAGGATGGTGTCACTGTGTGTCAGAATCGAGCAATGAAGGTCCTCTTTGTCTTGTTGGTGGGGTTCCCATGGGTTACAGCTCAGTATCAAGGTCAGTATCTAAAATGTGTTTATATAGCCGTGTATATGGTGACTATGGTAACAATATCGTATTATCCAGTCTGCCAAAAACCAGTGACATAGGTGTCCATCAAAATCTTCTAAAGAGCACAGCTGGTGTCTGTGCTAAACTCACCTAAAGTGACCGTGTTTCGTGGGAGTGGGCGACATTAGTAATAAGTACCGCTCTTTCTGCCAGTCTGGTTTATTTGGACAGGTACATTTAATTGCCAGTTCTTTGTACCCAGATATTTCAGTTGATCTCTCAGGAGGGTTTTAGTGGAGATTGTTTTAAGCAGAGGTGAGAAAAATGGCCTGGTTCAAACATTGCACAAAATAGAGGAAGTGGGCATAATTAATGAAGAAGTAAAATAAAGGTATGAAGACAGATATAGAGATTTATGTGGATTGATGGAGAGTTAATTAATGCGGTTTGAACGTGTCCTGTCCGCCGAGCAGTGCCAGATTAAGAGCCCAGTGGGCCTGGTGCTGACAATTACAATGGGCCTAATTACAGAATCTTATTGACCAAAAACACTAAAACAGTCATACCTACCAAGTGTCATGTATCTGATGGAGATGGTGTTGGAGGGAAACTCAAAGGATGCAGCTATAAGAAAACCCATACTCTATGCTAATCTCTCTCTAATTTATGCTTTCATCTTTCAAGTAAATCCAAACCCCCTAACAGCAGTGTCCAGTGAAGCAGGAAGTCAATGGGCGGGATAAAAGGGTGGGCCACTGATGCAAATCACATGACCAGAACTGCCAAAAGTGGCGAACATGCCCAAAAAGGGGGCATGTCTGTCCAAAGAATTGGAAGGCCAGCCTGGCATCAGTGTCCCTATATATCGCAGTGTCAGTGTCCCCATGTCGCCCAGTCCCCTAGTCTCCCAGTGTCTCAGTGTCCTCATTTCTCCCTGTGTCCCTATGTCTCAGTGTTTCCCGTGTCACTAGGATACCCGTGGACACAGTGAGACCCGGGCACACTGAGAGACCCAAGGACACTGGGAGACATGGGGGCACTGAGACTTGGGGACACTGGGAGACATGGAGACATTGGGAGACATGGGGACCCTGGGAAACATGGGGACACTGGGAGAAATGGGGACACTGGGATAAATGGGGACACAGAGACATGGAGACACAGACACTTGGAGACTAGGGGACACTGGGAGACATGGGGACACTGGCTGGGAGGCATGGGGACACTGAGAGACATGGGGGCACTTGTGGACATAGACATGGGGACACTGAAAATTTTTGGGACACAGGGAGACATGGGGACACTAGGGACACTGAGAAACATAGAAACATAGAATGTGACGGCAGATAAGAACCATTCGGTACATCTAGTCTGCCCAATTTTCTAAATACTTTCATTAGTCCCTAGCCTTATCTTATAGTTAGGATAGCCTTATGCCTATCCCATGCATGCTTAAACTCCTTTACTGTGTTAAGACATGGGGACACTGAGATACTAGGGACACTAGCTAGGAGACACAGGGACACTGAGACACTGGCTGTAAGACATGTGGACACAGGAAAACATGGGGACACAGACATTTGGGGACACTAGATGCCATGGGGACACAGACACTGGGAGCCATGGGGACACTGAGACACTAGGGACACTAGCTGGGAGACATAGGGACACTGAGACACTGGCTGGGAGACATGTGGACACTGGACGACATGGGGACACAGACATTTGGGGACACTGAGAAACATGGGGACACAGACACTGGGAGCCATGGGGACACTGAGACACTAGGGACACTGGCTGGGAGACATGGAGACACTGTGTTCCTAGTGTCTCTGTGTCCCAATGTGTCTCCCAATGTCCCTATGTCTCACAGCATCCCAATGTGTCTCAGCATTCCCATGTCTCACAGTGTCCCCTAGTGTCTCAGTGTCCCTATGTCTCCCTGCCTTTCCCCTCATCCCTCATGTCCCTGAGCTGTAGGCTGTCTCTGCAGGCTGGGAGCTGCTATCTGAACTCTCTGGGCTGTGTAGCTGCTCCCCTGCGCATCAGTGAGTAGAGAGAGTTCCTATCCCTGCCTCTCTCTATACACAGTGACCCCTACTGGCCGGTGCTGGTATTGCAGAGTAATCTCCGTTTATACTTAGAAAAATATCTGCATTTGTATTGCCGGTATTGCTGCAATACTGGCACGGCCAGGCAGCCTCAAATACTGTCTGTGCTGGTAAAATACCAGTCAGGTGGCAAATCTAAGAGTAGTGTGTAAAAAAAAAAAAAAAGTTAAAAAAATCTTTTTGGGCTTTTTTTTTTTAAATGTTTAACCCGGCCCTGGTTATAATGCGACACCAGCGAAATTGGAACCTGTGGATTATTGCCGTATTATTTTATGGGAAAAGGTTATGCAAGACGGTGAGGCCATCACAACCATGTACAAACACACCCCTACATTCACATAAACATACTTAGTACAAACACTTGCTTACAATCAAACACACAAACACTTCTGGCATAACATTTAATGAATATTCCAGGAACCTGAAGCTCAAAATCTGAAAATATAAAAAAAAAAATATTACAAAGTGTAAATTTTTTGTGATTTTAAATAATTGTAAAAGTTTATCCGGCAATATTAAATCATCTGGAAAGCTTCTACAAAAATATTAAATCAAATTAATAATGTTCAATAAAGTCAGTAAAAACTTAATTTACAAAAAAATAAATAAAATCTATGTTCTGTCTTGATTTTAAAATGCAGTTTGTGTTTCAAATAAGATATCATAAATGAGAACTGTTAAAATAAATAAATAAATATATATATATATATATACACATAAATTCTCTCTTTCTTCCCAGTCTGCCCCTATGTGGATCCCAGTTCCTCACAAATTGCAGTAATAAGCGACCGGTTTCATCTGATTCTGTATCTACATGAACTAAAACCTCTAGACAATCTGGTGAATAACTTGAAGACTCTGAGTAACGACATCCGCGTCTTCATCACCATATACCTGGAATCGGAGCTTAAAAATAAAAGGGACCAGTTCAATGTTAATTATACTTTAATAAAGAAATTTGTGCCAGAAGCAGCAAGAACTGATTTATGGAATTTCTTTCACAAATCTCAAAACAATGACAAGAAAACATCTAAAATCTTAATAGTTATGAGCGAGCTTTATTTCACTCATTCAATGGAAGAATCGTTGGAGCAGCTGAAGAAAGCTGGAGTGGAAATCTTTATTCTGCATTATGGAAAAGTAAACTACGATCTACATCCAATAGCTTCCTCCCCTAAAGAACAGCACATATACAGAAGTCTGAAATTTGAGGAACTGGATACAATACAAGCAGAATTAGCTCAATCTGTCTGCGTCAGCATCCAAAACCATGACCTGATTGCAAAGAGAGAGCGTAAGTAGAAACATGGCGACAAATGAACCGATGTAATAACGTGCACAGTCTGTAACCGTGTGTGACATGTATGCAGTGTATGATTATAACTGTAACTGTGTGTAACCAGGGCCGGATTAACATAGCGGCTGATGGAGCTGCAGCTCCAGGCCCAGGCCTATGGAATAGCCCCCCCCCCCAAAAAAAAAAAATGTTTTACAAACTACTCTAAGGATGGGGGGAAAGGCAGCAGGGAGACATGGGAACACTGAGACACTAGGGGACACATGGGGACACTGAGACACTAGGGGACACTGGGAGATGTGGGGACACTGGGAAACATGGGCACTGGGAAACATAGGGGACACTGTGACACATGGGGATGCTGAAACACATGGGGATGCTGTGAGACATAGGGAGACACACTGGGACACGGAGACACATTGGGACATGGAAACACTAGGAACACAGTGTCTCCATGTCTCCCAGTGTCCCCATGTCTCCCAGCCAGTGTCCCTAGTGTCTCAGTGTCCCATGGATCCCAGTGTCCCCCTAGTCTTCCAGTGTACCCTAGTCTTCCAGTGTCTGTGTCCAGGCCCGGACCGGCCATAGGGCACACCGGGCAAATGCCCGGTGGGCCGCGGTGTCCGTGGGGCCGAGGCCGGCAGGGGAGGTCCCAGGATCTCCCCTGCCGGTCTTTGCAGGGCCGGCACTCTCCTAGCGCCGGCCCCGCTGTTTGCCACAACGGGCCGGTAGGGAGATCAAAGATCTCCCTCACCTGCCCACATGCAGCCGCCGGCGGGGAGAGGGAGGGAGCCAGCCAGCCTGGAGAGAGGACCAGGCGGAGCTCTAATTTGCAGCTCCGCCGGGTTCCTCTCGCGAGATCCGGCGCGTTGCCATGGCAACGACCGGATCTCGCGAGAGTGAACTCTAGCCTCACGGGCTAGAGTTCACTCACCCACGAGGACCACCAGGGAACCCCACCACCCTGCCTTCCAGCGTGCCGGACCCCCCCCTCCCAGGCTAAAGGTAAGAAGGGAGGGGGGGGGAACATAGTGTCTGTTTTTTTATTTACCCCCCCCTACACACACACAATAACATTTATACAGCACTCTCTCACACCCATCACACACAGCACTCTCTCACACAGCACTTTCTCACACAGCACTCTCACACCCATAACACACAGCACTCTCTCACACAGCACTCTCACACCCATAACACACAGCACTCTCTCACACAGCACTCTCACACCCATCACACTCACACAGCACTCTCACACCCATCACACTCACAGCACTCTCACAGAGCACTCACACACACACAGCACTCTCAGAGCACTCTCTCACACAGCACACTCTCACACAGCACTCTCACATCCATCACTGACACACAGCACTCTCACACAGCACTCTCACATCCATCACTGACACACAGCACTCTCACACCCATCACTCACACACCACACCTCTCACATACACACAGAACCCCCCCAACACACTGCACCACACACATACACAATACTTCCAAATATATATACATCTACACACACACACACACACACACTACACTCTTAAAGGACCACATTAGCCACCCAGACCACTTCAGCTTAATGAAGTGGTCTTGGTGCCAGGTCCTTCTAGGGTTAACCCATTGTTTTATAAACATAGCAGTTTCAGAGAAACTGCTATGTTTATCAATGGGTTAAGCCTTCCCCCAAAGCCTCTAGCGGCTGTCTCATTGACAGCCGCTGTCTCATTGACAGCCGCTAGAGGCGCTTGCGTGCTTTTCACTGTGAAAATCACAGTGAGGGCACGCAAGCATCCATAGGAAAGCATTATAAATGCTTTCCTATGCCACCGGCTGAATGCGCGCGCAGCTCTTGCCGCACGTGCGCATTCAGCCGACGGGGCGGATCGGAGGAGGAGAGCTCCCCGCCCGGCGCTGGAAAAAGGTACGTTTTAACCCCTTTCCATAGCCAGACGGGTATGTTTTCCTGGCACTATAGTGGTCCTTTAACATACACACTCTGGATCCCCTATACACACACTAGATTCCTTGTAAGCAAACACATACTACACCCCTAAACACACACACACTATAGCCTGTATGCACACACTTGCTATATCCCAATACACACATTCTCTACAGCCCATAGCCACATATGCATCACATTACACCACAAACACAACACGACTAAAACTGACTTTATTACACAATACCACACCACGACCAGCTCATTCTACACACACGCAATACCACAAGCAGGCTCCAAATACATGCACAATACTCTTTCCTGGCCTTTTATCTCCTGGTATCCATTTATAGACACCAGAGACAAGTTGCAAGGAAACACAGTGCAAGCATGTTATTAAATTTGCTTGCACTATGCAGAACAAATACAGGACTTTTTTCTCATGCTAGAGCTCTTCAGTAGAGCTCTGCGCATGGTCTGCCCTGGAAGAGCATTGAACCAACATGCTCACTTTGAGAGGAGGCGTGTTTGTCATTGGTGATGACAAAACACACCTCCTCTGCCCCGCTCCCTTTTTAGTGGGCCGCTGTGTTAAAAAAATGCCCGGGCCGAATTTTTCTCCCAGTCCGGCCCTGTCTGTGTCCCAGTGTCCCCAAATGTCTCAGTGTCCCCATGTCTCCTAGTGTCCCCATGTCTATGTCCACAAGTGCCCCCATGCATTCCAGTGTCCCCAAGTGTATGTGCCCCCATGCCTTCCAGCCAGTGTCCCATGTGTTTCAGTGTCCCTATGTATCCCAGTGTCCCCTAGTCTCCCAGTGTCTGTGTTCCCATGTCTCAGTGTCCCTAGTGTCTGTGACCCCATTTCTCCCAGTGTCCCCTAATGTCTCAGTGTCCCCATGTCTCCCAGTGTCTCCATGTCTGTATCCACAAGTGCCCCCATGTCTCCCAGAGTCTCCATGTGTCTCAGTGCCCCCATGTTTCCCATGTCCCCAAGTGTTTCAGTGTCCCCAGGTCTCTCAGTGTCCCCATGTCTCATGTGTCCCCATGTCTCTCAGTCTCCCCTAGTATTTAATGGTGACACGGGACACTGGGAGAAATGGGGACACAGACACTGGGAAACTAGGGGACTGGACGACATGGGGACACTGACACTGTGATACATAGGGACACTGATGTCAGGCTGGCCTTCCAATTCTTTGGACAAACATGCCCCCTTTTTGGGCATGTTCGCCCCTTTTGGCAGTTCTGGTCACGTGATTCGCGTCAGTGGCCAACCCTTTTACCCCGCCCATTGATTTCCTGCTTCACTGGACACTGCTGGATTTACTTGAAAGATGAAAGCATAAATTAGATAAAGAGATTAGCATAGAGTATGTGTTTTCTTATAGCTGCATCCTTTGAGTTTCCCTCCAACTTCATCTCAACCATCAGATACATGACGCTTGAGAGATATGACTGTTGTAGTGTTTTTGGTCAATAAGATTCTGTAATTAGGCCCCATCATAATTGTCAGCACCAGGCCGACTGGGCTCTTAATCTGGCCCTGTGTGTAATGTGTGTGATTATACAGGGAGTGCAGAATTATTAGGCAAATGAGTATTTTGACCACATCATCCTCTTTATGCATGTTGTCTTACTCCAAGCTGTATAGGCTCGAAAGCCTACTACCAATTAAGCACATTAGGTGATGTGCATCTCTGTAATGAGAAGGGGTGTGGTCTAATGACATCAACACCCTATATCAGGTGTGTATAATTATTAGGCAACTTCCTTTCCTTTGGCAAAATGGGTCAAAAGAAGGACTTGACAGGCTCAGAAAAGTAAAAAATAGTGAGATATCTTGCAGAGGGATGCAGCACTCTTAAAATTGCAAAAAGCTTCTGAAGCGTGATCATCGAACAATCAAGCGTTTCATTCAAAATAGTCAACAGGGTCGCAAGAAGCGTGTGGAAAAACCAAGGCGCAAAATAACTGCCTATGAACTGAGAAAAGTCAAGCGTGCAGCTGCCACGATGCCACTTGCCACCAGTTTGGCCATATTTCAGAGCTGCAACATCACTGGAGTGCTCAAAAGCACAAGGTGTGCAATACTCAGAGACATGGCCAAGGTAAGAAAGGCTGAAAGACGACCACCACTGAACAAGACACACAAGCTGAAACGTCAAGACTGGGCCAAGAAATATCTCAAGACTGATTTTTCTAAGGTTTTATGGACTGATGAAATGAGAGTGAGTCTTGATGGGCCAGATGGATGGGCCCGAGGCTGGATTGGTAAAGGGCAGAGAGCTCCAGTCCAACTCAGACGCCAGCAAGGTGGAGGTGGAGTACTGGTTTGGGCTGGTATCATCAAAGATGAGCTTGTGGGGCCTTTTCGGGTTGAGGATGGAGTCAAGCTCATCTCCCAGTCCTACTGCCAGTTCCTGGAAGACACCTTCTTCAAGCAGTGGTACAGGAAGAAGTCTGTATCCTTCAAGAAAAACATGATTTTCATGCAGGACAATGCTCCATCACACGCGTCCAAGTACTCCACAGCGTGGCTGGCAAGAAATGGTATAAAAGAAGAAAATCTAATGACATGGCCTCCTTGTTCACCTGATCTGAACCCCATTGAGAACCTGTGGTCCATCATCAAATGTGAGATTTACAAGGAGGGAAAACAGTACACCTCTCTGAACAGTGTCTGGGAGGTTGTGGTTGCTGCTGCACGCAATGTTGATGGTGAACAGATCAAAACACTGACAGAATCCATGGATGGCAGGCTTTTGAGTGTCCTTGCAAAGAAAGGTGGCTATATTGGTCACTGATTTGTTTTTGTTTTGTTTTTGAATGTCAGAAATGTATATTTGTGAATGTTGAGATGTTATATTGGTTTCACTGGTAATAATAAATAATTGAAATGGGTATATATTTGTTTTTTGTTAAGTTGCCTAATAATGATGCACAGTAATAGTCACCTGCACACACAGATATCCCCCTAACATAGCTATAACTAAAAACAAACTAAAAACTACTTACAAAAATATTCAGCTTTGATATTAATGAGTTTTTTGGGTTCATTGAGAACATGGTTGTTGTTCAATAATAAAATTAATCCTCAAAAATACAACTTGCCTAATAATTCTGCACTCCCTGTAATTGTAACCTTGTGTAACATGTATACAGTGTGTGACAAGATCTGTAACTGCGTGTAACATTTATACAGTGTGTGAATAGATAAGGCCCTGGTGAGATAGCGCAGCTAAGCGGACAAAGGCACATGTATGAGTGTGGGGATAGATGCGTGTGATTGGTTGGACATGAATGTGTGGGTGGGATTATGTGGTGTGTGTTCCGTAGGGGGTGGTCTTACCTGAATGCCAATTGGGATTTGGGCCAGCAAACAGCTTCCTGTCCTCCTGCTCCTGTTTGTCCTCGGCCTGTAGTCAATCTGCTTGAGAGATGGATGTGGAGATTATTCTGGCGTCCCTCAGAGCTGCTGCTGCGCCGGATGGCTGCTGGTGTGGGACCTCCCCGCAGCCTGCCTCATTCAGGGGCCTCCCTTGCGGCCCCTGCTCCTGGGGGCCGCACTAGCACCAGCCAGCATTTTCGCCCACTGGTTGAATTGTCCCCTGACACCACTCCTCGGGCCCAGTTGAGGAGTAGGAGCCCAGGCCAGAGGCACCTGGCAGGCTGATGGTTCACAGCCGACTCCTGCTACACGGCCTGCCCCAGTCTCCGGCAATGGACCACAGTGTGCGGCCACCCAGCTTCCAGGTCTCCCCGCGGCAGATGGGACGGGGGGGCTGGGTCCAGGCCCCCATGGTGAGTAGACAGTACCGCTGTTGGGGTCGGGTGGGGGGTTACTCCAGTGTGTCGGGAGCCTCCTCTGCTGGTGAAGTCTGTATCCCCTGTCCCCCCTCCTGGTTTTTTTCCCCCTCTCTTGTCCCTGGTCTTCCCCTTTGTTGTTTTCCAGGGGACTCAGCTTGCCCCTGGTTCCCCTCCTACCTCCTCTGGTCCCTCTGCCCCCTTCTCCATCTGAATCCCTACTGGGTTTTCCTCCCCCCTTTCTCCTTCCTCACATGCCCCCTCCCCTTCTCTCCCTTCTCTTTCCTGGTCCTCTCTGCTCTATATCCTCCCTTCTACTCTCCTTTGGCCCCCTCTCGCCCCTGCTGGTCACTCACATTGGCCACCTACCATGTGGGGCGTGTTCTCACCGCCTCTTCATTGCTCTTATCTCAGGACCCGGCTGCTGTTACTGGAACTGCCCAGCAGGTGGCGCCTGGAACACAGTGGATGCTGGAATTCCTGTTGATTTGCCTCAACCTTCTGTGCTTGCTGTGCCACGATCGGAACGCCAGGCTGCAACAGTTAAGTGTGGTGTTCCGTCCTCTTCTAGTCACTCAGGTCCCGCACTGGGGGGTTCCTCTCAGGTCTTCGTGGGTTTTTAGATCAGTGGGAGCAAGGTTGTGTAGTTAGCGGGGACTCCTTTATGGATCGCTTCTCTCCAGGGCTGCCACCAGAAATTTTGGGGCCCCTGACTAAGCCCACCATCTGGTCCCCTGGGGCCTGCCCCCCAAGTCAGTCCACATGACCTTTCCCAAATCTGCCCACATGACCCGCCCCCAAATCCACCCACAGGGCCCATCTTAAGTCCACCCACAAGGATGAAGTGTGTGTGTACTGAATTTGTTTGTGTGTGTATAGTGGCTATAGAATGTGTGTAGTGGATACAAAGTGCGTGAGTAAAGTGGATACGCTGTTTATAGTGGAGTGTGTGTGTTTGTGTAGTGGAAGTAGTGTGTATATAGTGACTGCAGAGTGTATGTGTAGTGTGTGTAGTGAATGCAGAGTGTGTGTTTGTGTAGTGGATCATGTGTGTAGTGGATGCAGTTTGTGTGTTTATGTGGTTTATGGTGTGTTTGTGTAGTGGATGCTGTGTGTGTAGTGGATGATGTCTGTAGTGGATGCAGTTTGTGTGTTTATGTAGTGGATACATGTGACAGATCCATCTGTGTAAAGACTGATTGCTGGTTCGTCTGTTTTACCTTTTAGTGGAATTACCCGTTCGTATGCCTCTGTTCAGTGAATTGACTTTTTCCGCAGAACAAAGCTACCGAACAGACGGCCACCCAGAAGAGAAGTGTGCTGCTGGTTAACCTCTTGATCCCTATTAGAACGTTGTGGTTAACCGCAGACACTTCTCAATTAAGAACCGAATACCGGGTGGTTATCGTTCGTATGTCGACCACGAGGCGGTGGCCATTTTAAACCATGCGAAAGACCATCGGTGTTAGGCATGGATTTCATGGAACTGAAAACGGACACTTTTTCTACCGAACACCACTGAAGCCGTGGACCTCCCTTCTCAATCGACAGAAGGATGCGAACACCGGCCGTTCGGGAGGTTTAAACACACGAATGGACTTACCCTAGATAGCCTTCCCATGGAGTCAATCGCATACCGAAGGACTGTAATAGACTTTGACTCCATGGCGATTGAACTATGCGTATGGGAACTGAGCGCTATTCGCCAATAATATGCACTCAGATCCAGGCTATCTGGGGATATGTGATACGAATGGGTAGCATTCGACAGATGCAAAGTTATATATTTTTATATGTTTTTCTGTGTTGAATTTAAAATGGCGATTTGTCCTTGTCCTGGAGATAATTGAATTACTTCTCAATTATCTCCAGGGCAGAGGGGAGGAAATACTAATGCATGCTGGGAGATATATGTGTTCGGCTACTATTGGCGATTCGTGAGTTTGGAGCTCGAGAAGTGAAGTGCCCGTACGGATCCCGTTCCTGAGTTTACAGCGTTCCCTTGCTCGCAGTTCGTATGCTTGTACTTGATACGCATACAGCCTATGTTATACCGAGAGGGGAGTATTCACTAAACGGCGGATTGCACATCTGATGCTGAGGGTACCATATCATTCCCCATTTTGGTGGCGTTGGAGGTGTGGGATCCCCAACTCATGGACAGGCGGGTTGTTTTCCATTGCAACAATTTTGGGGTGGTGCAGGCTATTAATCAATTGACCGCTTCTTCTCCCCCAGTGGTACGCTTGCTGCGGTGCTTGGTCCTGAACTGTTTGGGGCTTAATGTGTCTTGTAGGGCTGAATATATCCTGGGGGTTCGCAATGTAATCGCCGATGCTCTCTCTCGTTCACAGTGGAATGTTTTTCGTGCAGAGACTCCACAGGCCGAAGTGGAGGGCGTCCCGTGCCCAGTGGAGATGTAGTCGCTAGGTCTGGCAGACTGATGGAGTTGGTCCATGGGTTGGTCTCTGCGGTGTGGAGGTGTGGAGTGAATGGGACCGGTAGGAGCAGCCCCATGGGGTTTCCAAGACTTGCCCGCTCACCTGCAGCTCACTTCCCATCTCTTAGGTGCGTGGGAGGCTGCGGGGTTTTCCCCCTCTGCGATTTTATGGGTGCTTTGCGGGGCTCAACTTCATGTTCAAGTTGTGGGATTGGAGTGGGGGGTGTCCTCACAGGACTCGAGGTGTCATGTCTCTCTGGTGCTCTGTGACGGACCGCCTGGCACCCTGACCGGGTACCTCCGTCAATCGATGCTCCTAGTGCTCACCAAGGACTCCAAGCACTCCACTTGACACCATCTGTACTGTAGACTCCCCACAAACCGCCGCAACTGGGTTGGAGATATAGCGGTACCAAGACCAGGATCCAGCTTCCAGTGGGTGAACCTCTCCTATTTTAGAGAGTCTAGCAGGAACAGCTCTTATAAGAGCTAGTGATTAAAATTTCAGGGGAGTATAGTGATATAGCAATCCCCAGGGTAAATGTAGCTGCCCCCTCCACACATGAGACGAGACTCTATGTTGAGGGTGAAGAGGAACTCATTTTAATGGTGCCACCCTGTGGGGATATTTATGGGATGATAAATTTAAGCAGTCGAGAATTGCCCACTATTTCAATTCTCTTAGATCTTAGAGATCGTTTATCATGTAAGTGAAAAGTATTCCATACAATTAATGGTCACAATGTGTTATAAAAATAGATTTTATTTTATAATAACAATTAATTAACAATAATACTAGGCAGCATGCATAATAATAACAATCAGTGAATATTTAGTATAACATAGTATGCAATACAATGGAATGGGTATACACGTTTCATTTTCTGTCAAGACTTACACGATTTATGAGGGTATCCTTACAGACAGAAAGTGAAGCTTTTCACAGCGAAGAACCATAAAACACTGGCTAACAGTTAGATCAACTGAATAACCCTTTCAATGCTGGCTAGATCCTCCTAGACATATAGTATCCTATTCTCCTATGATTTTCAATTAACATAACATTTAAACCAGTTCATTAGTCATTTCCTGGAACCATCCAATAAGAATAATCTACCAGATTCTATAAGCTGAATTTTAATTTGCCTAAAAAGATATCTTATCTTATATTAGCGCAAATCAATACACCTGGATAAAAACAGCGGTATGCTAACACATGATACTATCACTTTAATATATAATTATTCTTAATTCCACCTGCAGAATGAAATGTTATAACTATATATTCTTTAGTTAACTAAGATTCCTAAATATGGAAATCTGACCGTGATTTATCCAGTCATATATCATGCTATTAGTAAATTTTAATTAATTTAAATTAATTAAATAAAACCAGCATAATTACCAGTTATGTAGATATTCTCATCAGATGAGTAGGTAGTCCCAGAGACTTGATTGGTTCTATGTAGGTGCATGAGTTATAGTGAAAGGTGGTGTTGGTTAGAAAGTCAGTAAAATTCTAAGTGTTAGAGTTCTGAGAGTAGAGTGTTAGTCCCAGAGATTGTCCTGGATTTCTCTGCATGTCCGAATCGGATGCCCAAACTTCAATTCATCTCTCTGTCTCCCACTCCAACTCCAACTACCTCTGTCTTCCCTTTGTCCTAACTTTTAAAGGGCCAGACTCTTTGTACGTCATTAGTTGATAAACCAATAGGCAGCCGTAGGTGTGTCCAATCTAAGGATCGCAATTTAGGTATTTGATCCATAGAGGGCAGTCTCGTCTAACGAAACCTTCCTATCCAGGAAAGAGTTAACTTTTCCTGATGACGATTTTGACGTCAATTGGCTTATCTAAAATGACTACCATAACTTAGATTTGCTGTCAGTTCAAAGCATTTGTGCCAGTCTTTGTGGCAACTACCTTGGTCGTAACTTGTAAAATTGACAGTTCTAAACTCAATTTCACCCCTTTCGTACAATGGTACCTTATAAAATTTAGAAAGTAAAATTAATTACTTAGTCTTCTCTGTCATTAGTGTCTGTGTTTAGATATGCATCTATTCCATTACATTTTAGACAGAGCGTTCCATCCCCCTTGCTTCATTTCTTATCTTGGTTTGTTTATGTAATACATTCCTCAGCTCAAGCAAGTGGCTAGTTACAGAAAGTAAGAAGAAATCAAGGAAATTATGTGTTTTTGTTATCCTGAAGATAGCAAAATGGAGTCTGCTTTGTTCTGAGTGACTTGGCAATATACACTTTTAATTTCTTTTTAGCACAAAATGTCTGTTGATATAAATATTCTGACAACACGTGGCCTCATATGACAATCCCCATGCAAGGGGTACTCCAATATGGACCTTGTTGGGGACTCCTTTACAAAGTCACAGACCAATAATAATAGTGTTACAATGCATGACACTCCCATACAATACAATAAGCCTTCCCCTTTGTGACAGGACCAATCTCGCCATTGTGCATTGGAGGAGTCTGGTTGCCCGCCTGCTAACTTTAGACTATGGCCCCATGTTGAAACGCTTGATTTTCCCCAGCAGAGACACGAAAGCCGGGTCATTTGGTGCTTGCCCTGTTTGAGCGGTGATACCCCAGATAGCTATGCCATGGAGCCCATTCGTATAATGAAAGACTATGGGAAAGAATTTGGCTCCATGGCAATTGAACTGTATCTGTGTGATCTAAGCGCCATTCAGTAATAGTGTGCGCTCAGATCTGAGCTATCTGGGCATATGTTGAATGTACCTGTTTTATGCAATGGCTGCAATGTTTTTATGTATTTTATTGTCTTTTGCTGCCATGTGTTCAATGGTGTTTTGCCTCTGTCCTTGGAGATAATTGGATTACTTCCCAATTATCTTCAGGATAGAAGACTCTGTGGAACTGGTTTTGGGCAGAAAAGCCATGCTTCATTTGGTCACAAAGGACTACGATCTATCTTTTGAACCACTGGACCAATTTGTATGATTTTTGATGTTTGTATTTTTTTTCTCCACCGGCCCTACAGGGATGCTGGGCGGTCAGCCCAGATCCCCAGCGGCAGATTGATTTGCAGGGAATAGAGAGCCGTGTCTCCTTTCCCCAGCAACAGTGTGAAGTGCAGGGAGTGG